CAGATGCAAGCCACCATGCGCAACATCTTCCTTGACGAGCAAATGCGCAAGAGAACCAAGGACCAAATCGCTGGCCGCGGATTCGCCATGGCTACCAAGACATCTGGTCCCATCTGCTTCGAGTGCAACGAACCGGGACATGTCAGGAGGAACTGTCCCAATCGCCAGCGGGAGGGCCATAGGGCAAAGAAGACGAAGCCTGCGGGAGCAACCAAGTGGTGCTCCGTCCATAACACCACTACACACTCCGACGAAGAGTGTTACAACCAAGGAGCCAAGCGACCAGAACGCACGGGCAAGGCCTTTTCTGCATGCACACACTGCGTGCACTGCTCAACCCAGTCAAGAGACATACAAGCCAGGCCTACCACAACAGAAATTCCCAAAGAAACAGAGAAGACCGAAAAGGCAGAGATCGACTTCTCTTACGACGAAGATGCATTCAAGGGTGGATTCATGTACCATGCTACATGCAGCAAGGGAAGCGGACGCACTTTCACGACAACTGCAACTGGGACTTCCGCGCTGGTGGATTCTGGAGCTTCTGAAACCATGTTCGACGACCGCCTCATCCCGAATGGACGTCTCGAAGAAGAACGCCCGACGCCCAAGATCATCGACGTTGCAGGAGAAAGCCAACTACGAGGCACTACCACTGGGGTCCTACACTGCACCATCAAAGACGACAAAGAACAGCAACTACCCGTCAAACTACAAGGTCTCATCGTGCCAGGACTAGGCCGGAACATCTTCGCACCAACGGCCCTTCTCAAGAAGGGCCTCCGATGTGTCCTGGAAGACAAGACCCCACATCTCCCCATCGGCGGAGAAGTCGTCGTTCCTCTGAAACACGAGACTCAAGACCAAGGCATGTGCACCCTCGCCATCACATTCAAGGGCGATCCAGCGTCGACAAGCAAGACACCCCCGAACAACCAAGAACCAGGGCGCAAGCCGAAGTTCGGAAAACCAGAAGCGGTACAGATCGATCACACTCCGCACGCGACATGCTCAGTGGCGATGAGCGTGAGCACCGACCTATGGCACCGGCGCCTCGGCCACATCAATTTAAGTGCTACGGAGATTTTGCGGCGCAACCCCGCCACAGGTGTGAAATATGACGGACCTGTATCCCCGTGCGACAACTGCCAAATCACGAAGCACAAGAAGGCTCCCGTCCCGAAGAAGACCAGCCGTGTCCTGACCAAACCAGGCCAACTCGTCCAGTTCGACAACATGGGACCAATCGACCCGCCTGCGAACTACAACGGACGCACCTACTTCTATGTCGCCAAAGCGACCGACGTCTGTACCAGAATGCGGGAAGTGTACCTACTGCGCCACAGAACCGAAACCACGCAAGCTCTGCACGCCTACAACATGCAAGTAGCATCTGAAGGCTACCGCATCGAGGTTCTACGCTGTGACAAAGGGGGAGAGAACACTGGGGAAGAAATGCGCAACTACTGGAGGGAGTCTGCGATCAAGTTGGAATTCGCCGCGACCAACACGCCCCAAGAAATCGGAGTGTCAGAAAGGGATGGCCAGACACTTGCGGCTGTGACTCGAGCTCTACTGCGCGATGGAGACTTCCCAAAACACATGTGGGGGGAGCTCATGATGACTGCAGCATACCTGACCAACAGGACCCCACACGCGGCGGTAGGGGGAGCCACGCCGTATGCCAAGATGTACAACACAACCCCGGACCATTCTCGACTTCGTTCCATCGGCGCCCGCGCGTTCGTTCATCACGAGCGATTCAAGAAGAAGCTAGACGACCGGGCCTTTGAAGGCAAGCTCTGCGGTTACGGACCTGACAGCAAGACGTACCGGATCTACGTGGAGGGCAAAGACAAGGTCTACGAGAGCCGGAACGTGACTTTCATCGAGACTCCACCCAACACCATCCCCCCTCACCGGTGGGACGACCGTCTCGGATATGAACAGGACGTGATGAACTTCACGTCATTGCTCGGATGCCGTACATCTACGGGCGACGAAGACAACAAAGTGGACTACGGAACACAATCAGAGCTCCTGCTGCACGAGATGCGCAACATTCAGCAAGACAACATCGACCGAGCAGAACGTCGCCAAAACAACGCGGGCATGGATTCCGACAACTACTTTGCTGCTGGGGGAGCTGANCCGAGCAGAACTTCGCCAAAACAACGCGGGCATGGATTCCGACAACTACTTTGCTGCTGGGGGAGCTGACAGCAACAACAACCCGCGGACTACGACACCATCCAGGACATCGCAGGACACGACACTCGAATCACCCACGACGCCAACAGACACGGACTCCGCTTCGCCAGCCCCCATCCCAATGCGTCGATTAACGGTGACCCGTCCTGCCACGCGCACTCACCAACCCACAGATGACCCTATCGACCATCCATGCATCCCGAAATCTCTGGATGTGAACATGAACGATNAACAACCCGCGGACTACGACACCATCCAGGACATCGCAGGACACGACACTCGAATCACCCACGACGCCAACAGACACGGACTCCGCTTCGCCAGCCCCGATCCCAATGCGTCGATTAACGGTGACCCGTCCTGCCACGCGCACTCACCAACCCACAGGTGACCCTATCGACCCTTCATGCATCCCGAAATCTCTCGAAGTGAACATGAACGATAGAGGCCGCTCTACCATGGCTGTCAGCCACCCCGACCCACTGGAGCTCACCGAGGATCAACTACTCGATCTCACCCACCAAGCGAAGCAACGATGCCCTGCTGACGCGGCGGGTTGTGCTCACCTGGATGAAGACCCCTTCACCGAAGTCCGGGCGTATGCT